GGGCGGAGGCATCGGCGGTTGCGCTGAAGGCGGGGGTTGAGGATAGGGTTAGGAGGCTCATTGCTGCTTCTGTGGTCTCATCGTCGGGCTTTGGCTGCGGTTCTTGGCTTTCTCTCAGGCTGGATTTGGCATCTTTCGTCTTCCATCCTTCTTCTGTCCTGACGACGAGCTTTGCCGATTCTGCGAGATGATCGAGGGTGTTTGTCTCAGACTCTTGGGATTTCCCCCCAGTACCATCGGGATTGATCATTTCAGGCTCTTTGCCCTCTCCCTTGGGCAATTCGGAAGTCTTCATCTCGGACCCTACCCCTTTCATTGAACCCTCTTGGAGAACCTTCCCTTCTTCAACCCCACCACTCTTCTCCTCCCCCCTAATGATCCCAGCAGCCTCATTCAACCCCCTAGCCAACTCCTCCACCTTCCTGCACCACCCCTCCCCAACCCTTTCCGCAACCTTCTCCCTAAACTTCCCCCCATCGACCCGATTGTACTCCACGATGCCCACATTCGCCGCCACCGGCAGGGAACGGTTCCAGAGCCGCTTCGCCGCGATCCTCTCGCCGGTCGTGGGTAGCTTGTCGATGAGGCTCGTGACGGAGGCCGGCATCGGGGTCTGGCCCCGGGAAGGGGCGCGGAAGGGCCAGGCGACGAAGAGGGCGGCGTATTCGGGGGAGGCGCAGGAGCCGCGGGGTGGGGCTGCGGGGTGGGTGTGGTGAGTGGGTCGAGCTGGTGAGGGTGGTGGGGGTGGGTTCTGGAGGGAGAGAGGTTGCGTACCTGGCTGAGCTCCTGTCTTCGATGATTCTGTAGACCCATTGTTAGCGTTCTGACCTTTTGCAATCTGTTTACAACTCATTTGATGAGGTTGCATACCCTGCTGCTCGTCCTCCACCGAAGCTTTGGTGGACTGGTAAGATTTGGGAAGCTGTGCCTCAAGTATGACCTTCAACTCCTCCTTTCCCTTCATGGTGGAGGAGCAGAAGCTATTGCAGATGCTGTAGTAGTAGACTGGATTCCTTGGTGGAGATGCAGTGGTGATTTTGGAAGGATTGCAAGATGTGAGAGATGTGAGATATTGTGAAAAAGATCACCAGATGAGGTCAGAGGTTTGCTTAGTCGTCAATCGGTATGTCCACACCAGAAGCAGAGAGAACCTTCCGGAGAACGGTATCTGACAGTATGTGAAGCCTAGGCATGCAGGCAAACATCAGACTCAAATGAGATCCATCAGTGGATACTCTTGGCCAAGACCAGCAGTCACTTGCATCACCGCTTATACAAATGGATCTTTTTCAGAATGCAAGGTCAAAAATCCTAGCTTGACGGTACGGAAAAACCGACGATATACGTACCTAGTAATGCTAGCAGTGATGCTTTCTTTCTAAAGGCCTTGAGGCGATCCAAGGGAATACGTGGGTATCGTGATCTAGGCCAATGCCCAACGCCAACCCCTATCCCAGAAGTCCTGCCCCTTGTCCCTGCTCTTTCCTAAACGCCATGCTTCAACGAGAAGATACCGCCAGTAAGATGCAAATCGGAAACAATTGCATTAAACGATTAATCGAATACCCTCCCTACAGGCTTCGCTCGCAGCTCGCCTTTCACTTCCGGATCGTTCGGCCATTGCCTCTCAATCTTGTTCGTCTCACCCGCCAGAAGGTGATCTATGTTCAAGCGAGTGCTGTGTACAATGTTGAAAGTGTAGCCTTTTTGCCGGATGCTTTGTGCGCTGAACGATCCAATGTCGCTGTCTCGGCTCAGCCTGCCAGCCCCCTTGTGACTGTCAATAAGCTGCGGGAACACTCCGATGCATTTGAAGTTTGGGTCGTCTCTGCACATGTAGCCAATGCCGATATCGATTGGCAGGAAGGTTTTGCGTTGGGCTTGCCCTCGTAGAAGCTTTCGAGCGCCGCGAAATGAGAGTGCGTAGCCGTAGAGGCATACTCCGTTGTTCGCCTCATAAATTATTCGGGTATTGTTGTCGTATCCTTCGGCAACCATGTCGGGGACCCCAGCGAAATTCACCCGATGCTTTGCGATTGGCACCGTATCATCGTTCTCGATGACGAATCGTCTCTCGTCGTCTGGTTTGATTTGATTCGAGCAGTGACCGAGCCATAAGAGGTCCCAATCATCGCCGTATGGAGAGTGAGGTTTGTGATTTGGAGGGACAGCTGTGACGAATTGGCTGCCTTGAGCAAAGATTGCTAGTTGATCCTTGAGTCTGGTGTCCCAATCCGCGTCATCCTCGAGAATGATGGCCGAGGTGAGTCCTTCCATGACGACCCTTTGATGCGGACCGTCAGTACGACCATTGCGAAGCCTCTGCCCTAGGTTGAGTCTGACTCACTTTTGCGCAAAATTCAAGTGCGCACGCCAGCACCCAACAACATTATTCTTAGACTCTTCCTTCTACATCTTCCGTCAGCACCGACCCATAAGCCCTGGAAAGTATGTATAGACCTCAGGCAGGCCCTCCAGTGACGGAAGCGCCTTATTCACCACCTCTTCCCCTCTTACACCTTCTATTATCTCCGCAGTGAAGCCTGTCAGGGTGGAGGCGAGGGCAAAAGCATCGAGCTTGTCCGGTCGTTCGGCGAGGTTCAGGACGAAGGCTTTCTGGAACTGTCGGGCGACACATGTCAGCAAGGATGTGGAAGTAGACTGGGAGAGCTGCGTACGCCAAGGGTGGAATTGTGAACGTCTTTGACGCTGTCTTTTGTTAATTTGAAATTGGCGGCCGGATTCGTATTGTAGTCGTATCCATGGCCCTTGAGGTAGGATAATCCGTCACCAGACTTTGTGTACCATAGCAGAGAGAGCATGAAGAGGAAGAGGACACCAAGGGGGATGAGGCGAGATCCCCTGGTCATCTTGAAGTCGTCGCCCGAGAAAGGCATAGGCAGGGTTGAATGTTTGAGATCAAACGGAGGAGGAAGTGAATAGTGGCATGTTCGGCAATGTTGTCGGAGGAGTAAGGTAAGAAGAAGAAGAGGCGGGAAGAGAGACGAGATGAATTTGGAGCTTCAGAGTAAGCGGCAAGTCTTACCACTTTTCGGATTTGATCGTGAAGAGTCTTGATACTTGAGGGTGTGATACAAAGAACAAAGAAATAAGCCCCTGCCGTTGTCGTAGGATTTGATTGATGCGAGATTCGTTTAAAGTGATAAAATGGTTGGCTCGATTCTAGGTACTACATTACATTCTCCAGCCGAGGAAGGTACGGCGAGACCAACCCTTAGAAGTCTCAGGGCGGCCCGCTGATTTGGTGATTTGGTGATTTACTTTACTCACTTAAAAAGCTTGGCGGTAGCTTGGCGGTAGCAACCCTAGAGTAACCCTTGACGGCTGGGGAAGGGCAAAAGCGAAAGTCAAAAGATATCAAAAATCATTAATGTAAAGTACATTATTCACTTGCACTGCAATACCGCTTTCAATTTGGAGTACCTTACCTTGATTGATTAAAAATCCTTCAATGCTTTCCTTGCTATTATTACTATTGAACTGATTCATTCAGGTACCAGTTGCCCTTTCTACAAAAGGTTGATTACAAGCCGGCTCGGCCAGACTCGGTGCGAATCAACTGGGGCGGATCTTTCTTGCAGATTGCAGCTGCTATCTGCGCTATCTCCTTTTGCAGCATGCATCGACCCCCATCATCACTCATCATTGGCTCCGCTCCTACTCTAACCATCTGATTGCTTGCGATAAGAGATGCACAATCAACTCGACATGGCGGAGAGAGCAGTCCTGAGACCCCTCTCGTTCGAGCTGGGTGAGCTGCAGCCTGCGGCAATAACTCCACCCAAGTTCCCAACCAGACTTTACTTGCAGCTTCCAACCCTCCAAAAAGCCCGGCGTTCAGGAAGCCGCAGGCAAGTCGGCCAAATGCCAAGTCCCAACCATCGCCGCCCCACATCGGGCACTCAGCCAAATCATCAGCAAGATCAATCACAGTGGCGTCTGTGGAACCAATAGAGCTTTTTTCCATCATGATTACATAGTAGGAGGTATTGAGATGCAGGAAAGCACTATAAACATCTTAGGTTACGAAGGAGCCAGCGTCGTGATGGCAGCAGCCGATGATGTGAAAGAGCTATGGAAGGAGGCTGCCTGAGTTGGTATTGAATAGATACTCCGTGTGAGCGGGAACTGCGAGTCCTGTACCAACGGAGTTGCAGTGTTCTAAGCAGCTCAATAGCAGGTGTACAGTCCCTGGTGAGTATCACACCTCCGTGATATAAGCTTGTTACTGATAAGGAGTAGGAATGTTCCAGGATTCTGCCTCACCGATGCACGCTACCCCACCCGTATACCAGACGGCGTCAATGATGAAGAGGCGGGACTCATACTCTGCGGAGGTGTCTCGGCATTCACAGCCCGCAGGCGATCAGAGGTCAGAGCAGGTCAATGGATTGTGGTCATAGACGTCAGAGTAGGTCTGGGACATATGGCATACAATACGCCAAAATAATCGGATGCGAGTCATCGCAGTGGACGGTGGTGCGGAGAGAGAAAAGCTGTGCTTGTCTCTGGGAGCTGAGCATTGCATCGATGATACATCCGCCCAGGACATCCCTGCAGAGGTCTTGCGCATTACGACTTACGCCGCGCAAGGTGTTGCTGTTTTTGCTACATCAAAGCAGGATTACGCGACTGCGCCGTTTCTGTTGCGACCTTGAGGGACCTTGGTCGTGGTTGGTATTCCGGCCGACTCGACTCTGATGGCTGTGGCTCATCCGCGCGTCATGGTAACCCAAAGACTGAATATTTATGGTTATCATGACGGAGAAGTTGAAGGAGGTTGATGAAAGCATGGATTTTGGCGAGGGGGCTCGTGAAACCACTTCGGATTCATGACACACTGCATGATATCGATGAGATACTTGATAAGATAGGTGCTGGGCAGTTGGCTGGTAGAGCTGTGGTCAAGGCCTCTGCATAACATGTACAGATGCTGTCTAGAGCAGTATAGTCTAGACCATTACGCCGCAATCCCCATCTCATCCTTCCAACTTGAAGTATCCCGGCTGCAGCTTTTGAAATACTCGCTCCGGATCATACCTCTCGCTGATCTCGATCAAGCGCTGCTTATTCGCCTCTCCATACCCATCGAAGACATCTTGACCCTGTGCGGCGTAATTCTGGTAGATGAACTTGTAATCCAGACCCATCCCTTTTGCAGCTGCAGTTGATCGGTCAATGAAGCTGCTGGCCGCGGCCATAATGCGGTCGTCGTCGGATGGGGAAGACCACGAAATGGCGATATCGACCACTGCCACATGTGAGCAAGAGCAAGCAAAATCAGGGTCAGCTCACGATTCAATGGACCATCAGACTCCGCAATCCCCAACGCATTCCCTCCGTTCTTGCTAAAGTAGGAGATGATATCCTTCGTAATCGGCTGGAATACCACGGCCGGCAGAAGGCCCTCGGCGTCCTTGATGCCTTCGACTTCGCCGACGTATATGTCGAGGATTTCCCGCTCGAGGACCGCACTCGGTTTGAACGTCGCGGTGAAATACGTCTCGCGGAACCCGCTCGGGTTCGATGCTTCGAACTCGAGCGTCAGGTCCGTCAGGTTCGCTATCCGCGTCGTAGACGCCAGACTCGCCACGCCCGTGAGTTCGCGGAAGATGGCCGGATCCACGACCGCGTGGGCGTACTCCATGTCCGTGCTGCCGTGATAGGTTCCGTTGTAGTAGTAGAATGCGAGGATGAGGGCGGCGTCCGGGTCTGAGGGACTGTTGGTGGCGAAGTTGTCGAAGGCGCTGATGAGAGAGGCGGCGGCGGCGATGGGGTAAGTTCGCGCTCCGCCCCACATGGGGCCTTGGGGGAAGGTTTCGAGGTCGAAGCGGGTGACGATGCCGAAGTTGTTGCCGCCGCCGCGGAGGGCGAAGTAGAGGTCTGGGTACGAGGTGTGGTTCACGTTGGCGATTGAGGCGTTCGCGAGGACGACCTATTATGGGGTTTGAGATGACTTGAGGATGTATTGGGTGGGAAGTCGGGGTTGATCTATATACCTCGTAGTTTCTGACGTTGTCACACGCGAGCCCGTGACGGCCGGAGAAGAATGAGATTCCTCCTTAATCTTCTGTCAGTCATCTCCAGCGGATGTTGCGAGGCCCCCCTGCGACATACCGCCGAGTGTCAATCCGCCAACGCCGATACCGGCGACTCGGCCGCCAATAACGGACAGTTGCTGCTGATCGAGCTGACTATAAACATCGACCCAACGATTACCGGCTCCAACATTGGTCAGAGTCCTGTCTTGCGATACCTGGATCTGGTTGAGGTTGGCCAAATCGATCGTCAGGCCGTCTTGGATATTTGATGCTCCCGCAAACATGGCGTGACCTCCACTTTTCACTGCAAATTGGCAGTTGAAGAACTTGGTGATGAGGAGAGATGCAGAGACCTGGAGCGCAGACTGTGGTTGTATTCGACATGTTGGCTGGGTTTCTGCTTGTTGGTTCGACCAATATGTGGTTTCTTGTTGGTTGTAAGATGGGCTCCCTATCTGGCTTGTGATATTAGGAAAGATGGTGCTTAGAAGGTTGCACTTTGGAGGGAACGGTCAGTGGACGCTTGAGATGAAAAGGCTTCGAAGCGATGCATGAGGTCTCACAGTTCTTGCACATGGACTACCTGCGCTGGTGGTGCCGGCGGTCACCAAATGACCGTTTGAGCTGAATGTAGTGACTTCTTTGCCTTGTCCGAGGCTATCTAATGAGTCGAGTAGCCCGTCAAATGTACTGGCAGTAGTGGTAGCAGCATCGCCAAGGCTCCGCAAAGAGGCTGTCATGAGATTAACTAGTAAAAACCGCATAGCTGCAGAAAACGGCTATACATAAGATCTTACAAGTCAGAAAAGATGACTGAAAGAACATGAACGAGACCCATGTTCCTGATACAGTACAGAATCGCAGTAGTGATTACCAAGACGAGGCCACAGATTAGGGCCAGGGAGATTTCCGAAGAGCTTTTCTAGTTCCATGCAAGCTTAATGCTCCTCCTGGGTTGAAGGGTGGCTCATTACGATTGGTTAGTAGACGCATCTGTGAGTCTGTGTGCTGATTGGTCCTCATCTGGTGTCTGCGAGGTGCAGAATCCACACGAGACTTCTTGCAGCTCAACGGCAATCCAGCGAGGCAACTGTTCGGTTGTTTTTGGGCCTTTAATTGACCTACCTGAGGGGAAGCAAGCAAACCTGGTTTAGAATATGGGTGGCCAATCGGAATGCTGAAGCTTTTGTTAATTCGACCAGGCTAACCTTATTGAAGGCTCTTTGCGTGGTCTTAGTAAGGTAGTCGAAAGAGAAAATAAAAAGCACCGCAACACTATTATACTAGCGCTAATCGTTTCCACCCCCATTTGCACGTTCTTAAATCCGATAAATCCGACGTAATATCAAAATTACTAGCCGGAAAGATATAATATATTTTATAGAATATTCTATATTAAGTAATATTATATCGTACTCGAATATAATATAAATAAAGTTAGATATTATATCTTTTTTTTAATATAAATTCGAGATCTTAACGATATATATTACGAGATAATATATTTATAATATTATATTATAAAATAATATATATATGAGATATTTCGATTAAAATTTCTATATTTAAAAGTATAAGTAGCTATTCTAGTTATTATTCTAATTAATTATAACTATTACTATTATAATTATTATTATTATAGTTATTACTACTATAACTATTACTATTATAGCTATTACTATTATAACTATTACTATTATAACTATTAATATTATAGATATTATCGAAATATAACTTTCTTATATCTTAGTTATCGTATTTTTAGTTATTTAATTTTATATTATATTTAAAATCTAATCTCGAATCTAATATTTTAATAGCTATTACTATTATAACTATTACTATTTATTATTTAAATAATTTATTATTATATAATAATTATATTAATAATAGTTATAATAGTAATAGTTATAATAATAATAGTTATAATAGTAATAGTTATAATAGTAATAGTTATAATTAACTAGAATAATAACTAGAGTAGCTACTTATACTTCTAAATATAGAAATCTTAATCGAGATATCTTATATATATATTATTTTATAATATAATATTATAAATATATTATCTTATAATATATATTATTAAGATTTTATATTATATTAGATATAAGATTATATAAATCTTAATATCTTATATCTTATTAGAGTATAATATAATAGATTAATATATTATATTATATTATATCTTTTCGATTAATAAATTTAAAATATCTATTTATATTATTTACTAACTCTATATAAAAAAATAATATAATAATAATAATCTTTTACTTCTATTAAGACTCTATAAGAAAATACTTAAATTTCTAATTTCTAGATTTAATCTATCTATTAAATATTTTATTTATCTATTTTTATTTTTATTTTTATTTTTATTTATATTTTTATTTTCTATTATTTCTTTTAACTTTCTTATTTCTTCTATTACTTTAATCTTTTCTATCTTTTTTTATCTCTTTTATCTTATTATATTTAAACGAGTAAAGATCTATAACTTAAATTCATAATCATTTTTTTTGATTAAGGCTATCGAGTAAATTTGATAAGCGATCTTTAATAAGCAGTATTTAAGTGCCTTGCCTTTTAATAATTATAGAACTAAATTTTATAATTCTTAAAGCGTTAAAAAGCGTAAGTTATAGACTATAATTTAAAAAAAAAATCTAAAAATTTTAATAAAAAATAATAAAGTTATTAAAGAGTTAAAAGTAGAATAAGAGATTTTAATAATTATGAACGCTAATTCGTTTATCCGCGATAACTTAGTCGATCTAACTAAAAAGCGTAGCGAACTCGAATTTATAATTAGCTATATATATAAATTTAAGATTTTATAGCTTAATTCTATCTTATTCTTTTATATATACTAATATATTTTAAATTATCTCGCTATTATTATTATTATTATAAGCGATACTTTTAATAGTTTAATATAAGAAGTATAAATATCTCTCTTATTAAAACTTTTAATTCTTTATAATATTTAATAATCTTTAAATAAATTTAGATATAATATTAATCTTTTATTTTAATATACTTATCTATATTAAATTATATTCTTTTTTTTATTACTTTCTCTAATTAAAATAATTATTAATAATTTATTAAATAATATTAAATAATATACTTTTTTTAACTTTTATAATAATAATAAATTAATATTTTAATCTTAATTTAAGTTTAGAAAGATTAAGAGTATATATAATTATATTATATATTTAAATTATATTATATTATATAAGTAAAAACCTATGAATTAAATTTATAAAGTTGGATTTTTCTAAGTTAAATCGAATTTTAGCCCTAGCCCTAAGTTAAATCGAACTCTAATCGCTTGCTATACGTTTTTAACCTATATATAAATATATATATACGAAGAGAGATACGCTAAGACCTAATTAGAAAGGTGTATTAAGTATAGAGAATTAATTCGTAATAATTATCTATAAAAAATAGAGAAAGGCCATATTCTTATAGCAAGAAGTATCGAAATATCGGAAAGAAATAAAGATAACGTATTAATTAGTGGTGTAAATCCCACAATATCTTCTACCGCAGTAAAATCTTTCGAATAATAAAATAGCTATAGACTATTACGAGCGTATTCTATATTCTTAATATATTACTTAGCTCTCTTACTTATTCGAGCCTAGCGTATCTTAATAGAGACATTTATCTACTATTTAATATTTCTCTTCTATCTATATAATTCGATATCTTAATTATCTTATTTAATATATCTATATTAATATTATATTTATATTAGTTTTAATACTATAACTAAGATTAATCTACTTATTTTATTTATATTAATAAATAAATTTAAAGAAACGCGCTAATAAGAGCTTTAATAAGAAATTAAGTTAAGCTATTATATCTCTAGATAAATCTATTAAATAGATAATTCGATTTTAGAGCGAATCGAACTCGATAAATAGTAGTCGAGAGATAAATAAGATATTAGATTATTTATACGGCTAGCGAATCGAAAGAAATAGCTAATATTATTAAAATATTATTTATAAGCTTCTTCGTATATAACTTCTTTATAAGATAAGAGACCCTCTAGGCGAAGTAAGTGTATTTAAAAAAGTACTATTTATAGCATTTATAGTCTTTTTAATATCTTAAATAATTAAGAGATAAGTATATTAAATCCCTATAAAAAAACACTTCTTAGGCTTTATAGTAAAAAAATTTTATTCTTAATATCGAATAATTTCGAAATGTCTTAGAGAAACTTTACTATTCTCTAGTATATCTAATATTCTTAATATCTATTCTTTCGAAGTATTTAAACTTTTCTTTACTTTATTTCAAATTTTCTTTTTTATAGTAAAATTCAGCATTAAAAGAATAAATTAAATTAAGACTTTATTAGAGTAAATTAAGTTTCGATAAGTATTAGTTCTATTAAATAATATATCTAATAAGATAAACTCGATAGATATATCTTAAAATATCGCTAATAGTTTATAACTATAATATTAGATTAAGTATTAATTTAATAAGTTTATACTTATATTGAATAAGATTCGCTAGAAGCGAGACGATTTTCGAGAGATTATTATTTAATATTACGTCGTTATAATAGAAAAGAATTAGATAATAAATAATCTATTTTAGATTAATAAGTTAATCGAGAAGATAAATTAATTAGCTTAAGACTTTTAGAAGGATATAACTTTTTTATAGCGGAAAGTTAATAATCTTAATTTATAGTTAATAAAGGATTTATAGTTATCTTCGATTAAGGAAGAACGTATATCTAAACGTTTAAAAGAGAAATTAGTTAAGGTTTTAAACTTATCTCTATTTATCGATAATATTAATCTTATTTAAAATGACTGGTCTTTTAGAATAGAATAGAAATTTAGAGTTAATAGCGATTATTATCTTATTAAAGACTTTAAGATAGTTTATATAATCTTATAACTCGATAATAAGACTATATAGTATACTATATATAGAAGACTTCGAAACTTTATTAACTTATATTAATCTATTAATAAGATTATAAATAAATTAATTAATATTTATAAGAATTTAGATCGATATAATAATATATAGCGTAATATATATACTCTATAGTAAGGAATTTAATTCTTTATTAACTTCTATTTAGACTTTATTTAATTAAATATTATTCTTAATATTAATAAAATTATTATAGTAGAGTATTATCTTTTAAATAAATTAAGAAAGAATTTAAGAGATTTATAAAAAATTATAGAGGGGTTTATTATCTTAAAGACTATAAAGAAATATCTTCGAAAATTAAATAACTTATATCGTATTAGATAAAAAGATATAGAGCTTATAAAGATTATTATTAAGTTAATTACTATATAAATTACAATTAATATATATCTTATATCTATTATTAAAACTACGACTACTACGCCTCTAGATATTAAGATTAATTTAAAATTAAGAAAATCGATATGCTATAACTATAATAAGAAAGATTACTATCGAAATAATTATATAATAACTATCTAAACTAAGATCGATAAAAAGGCCTTTAAGAAAGTATAACTTTACGCGATAGATATAGATAAAGAATTTGAAATTAATAATGTCGATATTATAGATAGCGATGATTCTTTATTAAATTCGAAAAATAAATAGTCTCTTTTAAAGTTATAGTAAGAGATACTTATAAAGTATATCTAATAGATACTTCTAATAACGTCTTAACATATCGTTCTTTTCGTATATAAGTTACACTTTCTTT